GGAACTTTATCATATTTACTTAGGATCTAACGAATTTGAACATTGCATGTTAAGTACAAATTACTAAGAAATGAAAAAGAAATATAACAAAACATCTCATAAAGATTATTTACCGCATTGTAGATTAAAATTGATGCCTGTACAATTTATAGACCTGTGATATTTTAGAACCCCTTTAAAGCTAAGCAATTTCTCACTCTAGATTGTTTGGAGTTTATTTTTATTTACCATATTTCAATAAGAAGTACTTCATTCTTTGTGCTTCAAACCATCATTTATGGCTGTGAAAAGCAAAGATTTTGTCTAGACACCTACTGATGAGCTTACTCTGAAACTCAGGAAAAGCAACATCTTTCTTCCCTGAGAGACGTGTTTTTATACTAACATGTAAATATTAGGCATCAATTTCATGGACTCTCCAAATATTAGGAACATAGGTATATATGCTCAAAACCTCTAATCAATCCAACACTTGAATTAAGCTAACTTATTTAGTGAGTGATATTTTAATATTGTGTAAAGAATTTTACCTGGTAGGAAGAATTCTAATTAAAGTCTGATGAGAAAAGGCTCTTAATTTGGCTCATTGATCTGTCATTGTTCAGAAAATAATTAACACTCTTTGGAAGTCACATAGAGGATTTCACACAAAAGAATCATTTGGACAAATGGATAACCAGGTACATTTTGGAGTGGGAGTAAGTGAGGGCTGAAACTTCTAGTTCTCTTGCTCATCCATGAATGAAATTAAACAGTGCTGAAGATTTTAAAAAACACCCTTACCTTGAAAGCCCGTCCTTGGTAGAGATCCAAGTTCTTCCTGTTATTTACCTTCTGTCTTCTGGACATTCTCATTCAATGAACAGTTATTCTAAAAGGAGTCTAATAGCCCCAGTGTTATTTTTTTCTTTTTTGCCTCTCTTTCCATTAAAAAGCATTTATTTAGAGTAACAGCAGGTTCAGTAGGGTTTTAGTGTTTGCAGCTCACTAGTTTACAGGCACAACCCTGCTTCCCATAGACTTTCATCATGCTGTGGGAGAAACACATTGAAGCAGGCAATTAAAATATATTGCCATGCCTGGAATAACAGAGAAGCCCCAGCGCTTGGTCATCTCAACACAACCTAAGTGAAATCAAGTATTCTATCCAATGTTATTATAAACATCTCATATATTGTAGCTTCTAAAATTATAAAAATACAAGTTTATTGTGGAATATAGTGTAAATGTGAAAAATACATTGGGGACCCTTTATATACATACAATCATGTATTATTAAATCCTTCTTTGTATTCACAGATGTGTTCTTTGACTTACAGTCTAGAAGAAGGAAGAATGAAACCCCCTTCACAGTGCTTCACTCACAACTTTATAGAACCTCCCCTTCACCTTGCTCCTTTCTGAGACACTTCTATATTATTCTGTGAGATGCTTTAATTAGTGTTCAGTTCCTCACATGTAAGATCCCCACACTGTTATGAACTCTGTTAGGTCAGGGACCTAGTCTCCTCTCAGTTCACTTTTGCATTGGAATGCCTTACCCAGTGCTTGTCTCATGGTAGCTACTGAAAAAGCATTTGATTAATGGATGGATGGAAGGATGAATGGAAGGATGGATGGATGGATGGATGGATGGATGGATGGATGGATAAATGAAATTGAAATACTACGTAGAACTGTGTCACAGAAATGATGGTGGCCTGGATGAGGGAATTAAAATTGAAACTGGACTAAAGTGTATGTGTTTAAAAGTTAGGAAAGCAATTCAGGACTTGCAAATGTGTACAAGGAGGGAGGAAAAGGCAAGGACAACACTCAGGTGGCTTGGGCAGCTGGAAGGATGGGAGAACTGCAGTGCCCTTGACAGTGGCAGACTGATAATTTAATTCCAGCACATCAAAAGCAACTTCAGATGAAATCAAAGAACAGCAGTCAGTAACTAGTGAAGAATAAAGGAGAATGAAAGGAGATCTGAAACACAAGAAACCAGATATATTCTGAAGAGTGGTCTGCAGAATTACTAGGACACTTCATCCCTTGATGTAGTGAGACACTTAGTAAATCCATTTGTATTTTTTCCTTAGAGCTGTTTTAACAAATTTCCAAGTGACTTAACACAACATTTATCCTCCCACAGTTCTAGAGGCTGTTGGTCAGAAATCGAGGTGTTGCAGGGTCATGGGAAATATGTTCCCTTACCTCTCCCAGTCCATGTGATTTCTGATATTCCTTGGAAAATTCCATGGAAAATGTTTCTAGGGAAATATGTTCCCTTACCTCTCCCAGTCCATGTGATTTCTGATATTCCTTGGCTGTGGCAGATGACTTCCAGTCTCTCTCTCCACCTCCACATACATCCTTCTTTCTCTCTTGTATCCTCTTATTGTAAGGGCAGCAATAATCAGTTCTTTTAAAGGACTAACAAAACAGTCAAGATCCTGGCAGGATTGTTCAAGAAAAAAAGAAAAGACTTAGAGATTTCCAAAAATTACTAGAAGTGGCATAGAAATTAAGATATAGTGGATGGCAGGGGCTGGGGATTTAGCTCAGCGGCAAAAGCGCCTGCCTGGCAAGCGTAAGGTCGTGAGTTCGGTTCCCGGTACCGGAGAAAAACAAAACAAAACAAACAAACAAACAAAAAAGATATAATGGATGGCCTGTAATCCCAGCATGGAGGAGGCTGAGGCAGGTGGATCGCCATGACTTCCAGGCCAGCCTGAGCTATATAGTGAGTTCAAAGCTAGCCTGAACTATGTAATGAGACATGTCTAAAAAATAGAAAAAAAGATGGACAATGTTGTAGAAAAGAAAACATAAATAGCACTCCAGTAAAAAGAAAAAAATGAATAAATTGTCAAAATTCTCCAAACCATTTTTCTTTCAAAATATACAGGATTTAGAAGGATTTGAGGTGATCTTCTGGAAACATGCAATCTCATATGAATATAATTGCCCCAGAGGATAGGAAAAGAAATGCTCCTAAATTATTTATGAAGTAATACCCTAAGACTTGGATCTCCTCCTGGGAGTATGGCAAGATTTCACCTTTGTGTGTAACTCTGTATTGCATGTATTGTTCTTATGCTGATTTGTAAATGGATGTCTATTTGTTAATACATTTTCCTTCTTTAATTCTTAAAATAAATTAAAATTTTAAAATAAAGAAAGAAAATAGGCTGGGCATGAGACATATTTTGGTCCTTGGAAATACTAAGGGCTTCACTTAAAAAAGAAATTTTAAGAGATAATATTAAGGGGTGGAAAGACCATATAAACCAAATGGTTATTCTTATGATTAAAATGAAATATTAAACTGTAATTGCAATGAAATACACAAAGCCGTTGATTAAATTAGTAATTATAAGAAGAAAAAATGTAAAATTTGGAGGAACCATGAGAAGTCTTGCTAAAATAATTTAATAAGACAGTAAAGCAATAAGACAGTAAAATTTTGTAGGGAGAAAGAAATAAATGAATTTAATACAATAATGACCCTAGAAATAAACTTATCCTATATAAAATTTGGTTCCATAGCACAACTATGTTCAGAAAGCAGAGGAAAGAGAACTGATCAGAGACTAGATGAACTTGAAACAAAGGCAAAGAAATAAACAAACTGGAGAGAAAGAAAAGTGAATCTCTACATCTTGCCTTGTGGGCAAATAAATTCTAAATTTAACAGAGACATAACTAGTCTGAACCCAAGCACTAATATATATACATATATATCTATATAAATATATATGGAAATTATGATTATAAGGATTAATTTCTTAAGAAACATGATTTATTGATAAATATAAATCCATTAATTAACAGAATCATAAATATATATATTTTATTTGTCATTTGAAAAATAAATGGAACATAACTTTTAAAATAATGATAAACGTGATCATATTAAAATTGAATAATCTATGATTATGACTCACCTAGGGGAACATAAACTACAGATTGGAAAATGTATTTATAATATGCTGTATTACCAAAAATTTGCATTTTCTAGAAGGTAAGAAATGCAAAAAAAAACACAATCGAAAAAAGCATTGGAGAAAGGGAAAGAAAATTTTCAAAGAAAAACTGATATCTGATAAATATATGAAAAACAACTCAACTCATCAAACAGGGACTGTAAAACAATGAAGATATGTACTGTGCTACTTCACCAGATAAGATGACACCGAAAGGCAGAAAATACCAAGTTCTGCAAGGGTGTATAGAACTGGGAGCTTTCATATTTTGCTAGTGGGAGTGAACATACTTAGAACTACCTTGGAGAATGATTATAACTAGAAATTAACAAAGTAGTTCCTCTAGTACTATATTTTGATTAGAATCATCTGCATGTGGGAACATGGGTATTTGTATCAGGATATTTATTGTATAATCATTTACAAAAGCAAAATATTGTAAACAATTTAAGCTTTGAGGCCATGCGGAACTGAGAGTGTGAGGGTAAAAGGTTGATGTGAGTGATCTTTTTACAGAGTTAGTCAGTGTTTGGCGGCAAGCTATGCAAAGGGAAGGAGGGGTGCCCTGGAGATGACACTACAGTTTCAAATTCGAATGGATTAAAAGAGAACATGCTATTATTGGCACACATAGAAAAGGGAGCATACAAAGTTGTTTTGGAGAAAAAAGCTGGTTTTATAAGGAGCTTTAAAAATAGTATCATTGATTCAAATTTTCTTCTCATTCCGTTCCAGATCCAGCAACACTGTAGAAGTCTTGGTAAGACCTTCAGGCAGTGCACATGATGTGTGTTTGATATATGTAGATTTAATTCTGGCCTTGCTAACATATTAGCAGCCTCAGTTTGCTTACCTGTGAAATGGGGATGGAGTTTCTTAATAGGGTTCTTGTAATGATGAAGTACACTTTGTTCCAAGTCTGTAATTCTGCTTAGAAATGTGCAGGAGGCTTTAATTGGAGAGGATGAATTGTTGCCAAGAACTCTAAAGTGAATGGGCTCCCAGCTGATTGCAGGTTTACAGAAAAATGATGAAAATTTTTGGCTTAGACAGTAATGAAGAGGTGCAAAACAGCAATTCTTCTTTCACACAAAGTAGCAATTTACCCTGAGCAAGTTAAAGTAGTGGTGAATAATTTATTACAAAATATGAATCATGATGTGCATAATTTAGTCAAGGAAAAGCTCATACAAGTCAACTTCAGAAGGGGACATAATAACTCAGGTAATAGGCTTAGTGTCTCTGCGCTTTGAAACTCTGAAACATATGCAAAAGTAGAAAACTTTCCAATCACTTATTAGAGGAAAGGCATAAATTTTGTATGATCATGAACATCTGCATCCTATAGAATTTAATACTGTAATACATTCCATTAGTATGGCCACAAATACGTCCTAAGTAATATATATTATACCCAAAGCACTATGTACAAGAAGTTATAATGTATTATGTACAAGAAGTAATAATGTTTATACTGTAATACCTCTCTCTCTCTCTCACTGTAAACCTGTGTAGCATATGCTATGTATCTAAGTGCATTCCTTGGCTGTAGAAGTCAATGAAGTACATCTGTATGAACATTTTGTGTATGGTAATACACTACATCCTCTTGTATGTACATCATATGAGCATATACCTACAGGAAAGTATACCTACAGGAAAACAAAAAGGTGTATAAATGTAAGTAGTAAGAATTTTTAAAATATTCATATGAAATCAGTGATCTACTTTCCTCCTCACAATTTTTCATTTGTCAAAGGTCAAAACCTCCAGTGAAATTTATCTAGGAAGCATATAAAATGTGATCACCAATAAATAAAGTATTTTTAAAAATGTGAACCAGTTCATCCTAAATCCAAGCTTCCATATTTTCTAAAATATCTAAGCCAATAAAAGAACCTCCTTTCATTACTCAGATACATGAGTTTTACATGTTAAGAGTCCACGTATGTGTCCAGGTCCTTTCGGGTGGTTTCATGGCTTCGTTTCCCCTTTGCCTGACCTCTACTGCCTGGAATCTGGATCCACTGTTCACTCACAGCCAGACTTCCCCAGCAATTGGCAGTTAAATGCACTGCACGGTGCTGCTGTTCACAGGCTTTAATCTTTAAAAAGCTGAATAAAAACCCACTGTGGCTCTGCCTGACGGATAGGGAGGCAGGTAAAACAACACATCTCTGGAAGAGTTCAGGTTGGCACGTGTAAATACACACAGCAACCTATTCTAGACCTTAGGTTGCCATGGAAATGCAAATGATTCTGATTCTCTTTTATAGACATTAGATTGGCTCAGAAACTCAAATGATACAGATTCTCATGAATTTATAGACAGCAAAATTTGTGATGGTCAACAATAATGTCCTTTTTTTGTAATTGACTTGATATCACAATACCAACATTATCTATTTCAAATTGGTTTACGTTCTCCTAGGCAGGTGACTGTCTGAATTTTCAGCATTCCAGTATGTGAATAATTACACATTCGTGCATTTGGTTAACAATCCCTGAGCACTTGCTTCCTTGAGTCGTGGTGGTAGATCGGGAATACAAAGATTAATACCACACAGGGACTGTCCTTGAAATCAAACTCACTTAGAAAGAGAAAGAAGGTTAATATACAGCTAACTACCTGTAAGTGTGGCATGCATAATGCTAATGTAGACAAAAGTAATAAGAACCCTAAGGACAGCATTCAAGTCTACCCAGAAGCCCTGCTCAATAGCCTTCAAGTGTGGGTAGGATTTTGATGAGTGAAGAAAAAGGAGCTTATTCAAGGAGATATGAGTGAAATATTCAGTAGGCTCTCAGGACTGTCCTACAAGGAGGAAAGGGATACAGGAGATGGAAGAATCTAATGAATTCTCCCTCCGATGAGTGGGAGACACGGATGGCGTTTGGAAGGAGGATGGTAGAAACCGAAATCAGGTTTTCTGGTGCTGTTCTCAACTGGAGAGCAAGCTGCCACCAGTGGCTGGGCTGTATTCCCCAGACTGACACCAAAAATCAAGCGGACTTGTACAAATGCACCACTCAGATTATGGAAGCTGTGGAAAGGGCTGCTCCAAGTCTTATATATTCTGTAAACATGTACACTCCTGAGAAGCCTTGAAATACAATCACTTTGATGTTCACTGCTGCCAATTGGAAAGCATTTAGAGTGATTTGAGTGATCTAAAGAAAACACTTTAATAGTCATTTTCAGTGTCAGACCACGTAGCCCTGTAAAGGGGGAGGGAAAAGCCTATGTCAATGGACTGAGCACTAATAAATTCAGTTATTACTCCAGAGGACCACTTGTCAGTGATGGTGTCTCTGTCTGGGGGAGGTCAATCAACAGGCAAACACATTCCAACTGTCTGAGGGCACAGAGTTCCAGCGCCCTCAGGAAACAAGGCTGTACTCAACAGCTCTCAAACTACCTCCACCTACCTGCCCTTGCTTCTGGCAAATAAGGGCTCACTGTCACAGACTGCAAAGCAGAGAAGCCTTAACCATGGAGTTCAGGAGCCACAGACGACACCTGTTGGCCATAAGGGGCAGAGGACTGGAATTAGAGCTCTGTGCTCTGCCATCCTGTTTTATGTAGTCTGGCTAAAAATTTATTCCAGCTTGTGACTCAGTTCCATGAAAAGAGAAAGGAGGAAACATTTGCAGAATGGGTGCACCATCTCCAGGAAGGGCTGCAGGGGGAAAGCAGCCCATGGCAGTGGTTTGAGAGAAAGTTGTTCGAAGTTCCAGTCCCGTACTGAAGGGATTGGCAGTGCGAGTCACAGCATGATAGCTGGAGAAGAGAGATGATCGCAGAAAGAATTCCTATTATAGAGTATTCATTCAATAAATATTTTTTAATCAGCAAATAAGAGCAACAGCCTACACGAGGGCAATTGCCTGTACATTGTGCAGGTTAAAAATGATGCAGAAAGAATTACATTTATATTCCCATGCCTTTCTTCCTGAGGTGTTCTTGGTGGCCCCAGCAGGATCATCTGAGAGCTGGTTAGGCATGTGGGAATGTGGTCCCCACCCTGACCTACCGAGGTAGAGCCTGTGTTTCACCACTCTCCAGCTGATCACACCCACTTTTAAGTTTGAGAGGCACTGCTCTGAAGGTATTCCTAGTTATAGGCAACAAGAAAGGAAGGTGACCTGGAGACTAGGGTGTTTGGGAACTAGCAGGGCACTGCATTATCTTATAGCTACACAATCATGGTCTACAGGCTGTGAAGACAGTGGTTAAAGATCACAGGCTTTTGAGGGACAGACATACAGCAATAAGGACAGGCAGTGTGACCAGTACACTTGGTTATGCCAACTTGATTGGTGGAGCACACTTCTGGCTGTCTCTGGGTGACTCACGGGGCGTGACCCTGGGCACTGGTCCAGACCCTTATCTGCTCCTCTCTAGCACTGTTCCCCTGCTCTGCCTCCCAGCCACCATGAATTGAGCAGCTTTGCTCCACTGCACCCTTCTGCCGTGATGTTTCTGCCTTGGAGACAGCCAACCACGGACTGAATCTCCTTAAAACATGAGGCAAATTAAACCTCTCCTCCTCTGATTGTGGGTGTGGGCACTGTGTCCAGCAATGGGACAGCTAACTAGTGAACGAAGAAACAGCCATAGTTTGAAAGTGATTAACCTAGTCACAGGCTCTGTGAGGGACAGAGCTAGCACAGGAATACTATAAATGAAAGCTGGATAATGTAAGGGCACATACAAATCTTAGTACACATAAACCCATACCCACACACATATATGTAAATTTTAAATTTTTCCTGGTGCCAAAAAGAAAAGAGAACTTTACCTTTTTTATTAAATTTAGTAAGTTTTGGAGGACTTGAAATTGTATACACTTTCCCTTTTAGAGATGTATGTAAATCTTTTTAAAAGCTAAGTTAACTCTTTAAGGGTTTTGCTTCCCAGGAATGTCTTTTAGGGGAGGCTTTAGAGCAGTGTCTGTGGAATGCATTGCACAGAAAACCTCCAAGCTCCCTGTCTCTGTGGGCGTTTGGCATAACTGCCTGGCTACAAATTGTAACTATCTACTTGTCACAAAACTAAAGACTTATTTTTCCTTTAGAAAGGACATTTAACATGCACATAATAAGTTATCTCTGCCTTACTATGTAAATTGTGAATGCTTTTCTGTATTGCAATCTCTTTAGTGAATTGTTTGTGGCCAGGAACCAGCACTGCAGTCTAGTTGAATGCTTAATAACTAATAAAACTATTTTAATCACTTCTGCATTTTGGGTTGACAGGAGATTTTATCTGTAATTATTTCCCTAATATCAATAACAGGAGCATGAAGAATGATTGGATTGCCTCTGCCATTGCCTGAGTAGGTAAAATGACTTCCATTATATCTGTAAGGAAAAGACAGTAGATTGTCATTTCATTTCTATTTGAGAGTTCAGGATGCCCAGTAACAGTGTTTACTATATATCTCAAAATGGAATTAAACCAGTGTGAAATCCTCACAACTCATAGCAGGCTCCTTTAAGGCTGGGACTTGGCCATGCTCAACTCCGCCTCTCCAACACCTAGCATGGTGCCTGGCACACTGGCAGTACTTAATAAATACTTGTGAAGTGACTGAATGATAGGTGAAAGGCAGTTATTGAAGTGTGTGAGAGTGGCTTTGGGAAGGGAGGGGAGGGGTGCTACTGGCACTCTCAGTGGGGAGACCGGCATGATCATGTGAAAGTGTGAAACAGAGAGTGTGTGTAAGGCATGAAAAATCGTTTGCAGTTTCTGGAGTAAGTGTTGTAAGGGAAAGAGTGGTGTTGTGTCTGGCAGATCTGAGGTCTAGAGGTCTCCAGACTGACCCTAGCTGGCCTTGTCTCTCTCTCTCTCTCTCTGACATAGAAAGATGAAGAGGAGATGGAAGAGAAGACCAGTGCAAAGCAACTTTATTACAGGTATTGCAAGAGGAAGCTGTACAAAAGCCACTCCAGGGAGTAGGATGTCTGGAGCTGGAACACTGGCGAATCCAAGGCCGTTGTCCTGTTTTATGGGGTAGGAAACCTACTCTTGTGCCATTCATTGGAGGATCACTACTTGATTGGTCATTGGGCTTGTTGCTAGGAGGCTAGGTTTGATGGGTTAATAGAGAAATTTTGCTTAGGGAGAAGTAAACTACCTAAAGGGGAGCTTAGGCAAGTCAGTGCCAGCTATACAGAAGCAAGTAGATACAAGCTGCAAGCTGTTAGCTCAACTGTTTGCTGTGATGCAGAGGCTACTTCCTTTCTACTTCTTAAAGTGGTCTGGTTCCCTAATTTAACCTTACCTGAGGGTCCCAGCTAGTGGCATGAAGTAAATTTAGGAAACTAAACAGAGATCCTACTTCACTGTCATGGTAAAGTATCCTTCTTCATTGATTTCTGTTTCTCTCTGGTAGATTTTGAGGATCATCCACTGAAGTTGGTATTTTTTTCATGTGAATCTGGTGTCAGGCATAGTAAACAACTAAGCAGATAAATGAATAATTTCATATTTAACCTATTAAATAAAATAAAAATACACACCCACTATGCTATTCTGCCATACAAGGAAACTTGAGTCATTTATAGGAAAATGGATACAGCTTAAAACCACAATGTTAATTGAAATAAACCAGACACACAAGTTTAAATATTGCAGTTTCTTTTACATAAGTAATGAAAATTTTAAATAAAAAGCAAAGTACAAGACCGATGATAGGAAATAGATAGGTCAGACTTTCTCAAATAGGAAGGGGATCAAGAAAGGAAGGGTAGGGAGGGAAAAGGGATGAGGGAAGGACTAAGATGTGTCAGACAAGGAGTGTAAGCATTGTGTACTGCAAACATGCACTAATAAAAAATCACCAATTTAAAACAATAAATAAGCAGTAGAAGAGGAATACATTTCTATAGAATTATAACTAATACGGAGGTAATGATAGAATTAGAAATACAAATTTAATGTAGGTCAGTGTTTGATAGGTAAAAAGATATTTAGTATCTAATTATCTCCCCATGGATTATCTACCACTTACAAAGGGAAAATGTCACACACTCACACACATATATGTGAGAAATATAGTATACGTTATCTGAATCGAGATAAAATTAACAGTACCAGTATTAGAGCCAACTAAGACTATGTGTGAGGGACATAACATAATTTTCCTAGTGTAACTTATGAATATACATAATCTAAAGACAAAATCAAATTGAGAAATATGGTGTTTCACCAAAGGAGTATTCTATTCTCTTTAGAACTCTCAAGGCTAAGAAAGACCAAGAGAGACTGAGAGATGACTCTAATTGAAGGACACTGGTAAATAGATGTGGTAAATAAATAAAATGTATGATCCTGAATTAAATCCTGGGAATAGGTTAAAAAATGATAGGACATTATTAGGAGAGCTAGTGAAATTTAAAATAGATCACTGACGAGAAAACATTATAGCAATGTCTCATTTCTTTGCTTATATACTGATTATATAAAACAGTATCTTTGTTCTTAGGAAATATCCATTGTTTTAGTTTTCTAAGAAAAATAAGCACATTTGGGATAAATGAGAAAAATGTCTCCAACTTATTTTCAAAAGTTTCCTCAAAGAACATAGAATACAGTTACAGATAACAAATGGTACACAAATAATTATGTCTAGGTAAAAGGTATGGAGAATTTCTTCATTCTATTTTTGTAATTTTTCTCCAACTTTAAAATTATATCAAAATAAAGATTACCAGAGCATTGCAAGCTGATTAAAACAGGATAATGGTTACATCTGAAAGAAAAGAACAAATAGGTAACACTGAGAAAAAGCATATAAAGACATATGGAGACATTAAGCTGCTTGGAATGTCCCATATTTTGAGGTATTGAGCACATGGTTGTTTATCTTATTACTGTTCTTGGCATTCTCAACTTATTACTGTTTCTGCAGGTATAATTTATTTCATAATAATAAGAGACACCAAAAGGATATATGAGTACCCAAGATGATATTACTTACTTATGATGAAGTCATGGCTGAAGCTCAAATCTGCGGATTTTCATGAAGCCCATTTACCTGACATGAAACGTTGAAGATGATGATTAAGTCAATATGTGGCTGACTAGAAAACTCCAATCAATCATTCATCTGTCTGTACATGGGCCTAGTTGCAAATAAATGCACAGAAGAATAACATTGGATAACAGAGTAAAACTTCTGTGCTGACTAGATCCTTGATTCCTAAGCCCAATGCAAGTTCTGTGAAGTCACCTGGGACAGGTAGACAACTCTTTTCCAAGCTGCCAATGGCCAGATTTGAGAATCAGCAAACTGAACAGCCTTCTCTACCCTTCCTCCCTAATTATATCCAAGTCTTAGATTATGTATTCTTAATGCTGATAAAAGTTTTTACATGATCAGCTGCCCAGCAAATAGAACAAAAAGTCCTTCCACAGAAGCTTATTCATCTTCTCCTAAACTGTGCTCATCTCTTAATAAAAGCTGCTTGATGGGGGTCCTTGCCCTCATCCAAATAAAAATGATACACTCTAGGATGGCGTAGAAAGTTAATTGTGAGCTTGTTTCAACCAAAGAGCATTCTCTCATTTTGTTTTTAATTTATAAATTATCCTGGAGGCCAACAACGAGACCACAGAAGAAAGAATTATCCTGGAGGCCAACAACAAGACCACAAAAGAAAGAGACTCTCTAGTCTTGTAAATAGAAAAAACTGAGGAATTAGAATCTGCTTTATCTTGTGCGGAAGTCCAATCATAACACTTCTTTGTCTGCCTTCTTATTATGTGGCTATAAAAAGCTGTCACAGTACATTTAAATTTTCCTGTAGAGAGGAAATGTGCAGATTATAATGAAGGTGGGAATATGCTCATAACCATATGTTTGTTCACAGAGAAATGTGCCAGTATGAGAATTGTTCCCCTTTGACGTTCTGGGTAACATGTGGTGGTGGTGGGCGAGACTTCCACGGTCGGCCCCTTTGGTGTTTCTGCCCCTCACATTGTATCTTTACATTTTCAACGTAAAGATTTCTATAGCACCACCTCTTCCCTCACCTCCTCTTTGCTCCCCTGCTTTGCTCCTTTGTGATAAGGTGAGGTCTGAAAATACATTCCAATAATGTCATATTCCATGTACTTAGAGACAAAGGATGTGGTTGCTTAGCAACAAGGCCTTGGTAAAAATTTTGAGATTCTTTTACTTTTATTCACCATTTTGGGGCAAGGCTTACAAAGGTGTTTGCACAAGACCCAGGACCAGGAGGGAAGGAAATTAGCAAGTCCATCTAAAAAGGAGGCACACACAGGAGGAGGAGGAAGGAGCAGAGGGGGAGGAAGAGGAGGTAGAGGACATTAAGTCAGCAGTCATCTCAGTGAGAGCAGCCTGCCCAGTGGCCATGGGGATGGAGAGGGGATTAGAGAGACTTGGCCTCAGGTGGGACAGAGAGCTCCTCCTTTCCATCTTCCTGCAGTTTTCCCGGCTCCCACAAAGCTTAACTTGGGATTCCCATTGATTAGTTGAGACTGAAAGGCAGAGAAGAAAGGTGACTCACTGTTAGCCCCTCACAGCGCTCTTGCCTTGAGCAGTGTTGGTACAGATTGGGTGTGGCAGCAGCTGAATGCTTATTTTGTCTGTTACTAAACCTCCATAAAATATCTGTCATATTCTAGTTGATTCATTTATTTTCTTCATGACCTACTAATTTATTACTTGTTTTATTTTGTTTGGGATCTTTTTAAAATTTAGTTAGTACCTAGTTTACCTCTTTTATGAACCAGAACCTATTTTGGTGCACAGTAAAAAGTGAGTTAAATATTTTCTCCTTCAAATGTAAAATGTTTTCTATTGTCAGATAACCTACCTTTTCTCTTTTACTTGTGTAGTTCCCTTATCTTTTACGAGCTTTTATGACACTTGGATCTGTTTCTGCATTTTTTGTTCCATTCTGTCGCTCAGTTTTTTTGTTCCTTTCCTAATGCTATGTTGAAAGTAGTCATAATCTTTAATACAGTAAGTAAATTCTGATCTCATAATTTTCAAAATTGTAATAACTAATTTTAAATGTAAAATGTCTGGATTGGGATTTTTAATATGATTATATTGGTCTTTAAACTGAATTAAAGAGAGGTGACATTTTTGAAAGACTTAGTTTCTCCATTCACAAAATATTCTTTTATATCTGTCAGTGGATTTTTTACTGCCTCATAAAGTTTCCCACATGTTCCTTGCTATTATCACATAATTTAGTTGTGCTAATTATAAAAAGAATTTTCTCCTCTAATGGATCTAATTAAATACAGAGGAGAACAAGTCACCATCAAAGTTCTTACTTTCAACTAAATTCTTCACTCACAGTGCCTCTGTTCTTTTTGGAAGATGATTGGATTCTGAATCAGAGACTACTTTCAAGCATAATTTACTCTTGAAACCAAGATTTGCTGTTTCCAAAATGTTTTTTTTTCCTACAAATTAAATGCATTTGTATTATGTTTTATTTACATTTGTTTCTTTCTGTGAAAATAATAATTGTCACCATTCTACCGAGTTTTCATTAGAGAATTGATTTAATGACAGCTATGGTAAGTATTCAAAAAAATGACTTGTGCTGAAGATAATTGTCACATCTGAGGTCCAGCTTCACATAGGGCCAAGGCAAATAACGTCGGGAAAATGACACCACAGCTAAGCTTGGAGGGATCAGTAGGAGTTAACTAGGTAACCCATGGGCATTCCAGGCAGAGTAATGGGACAGGACATGGATCTCAAGGAACAGAGTCCGTGTATCTCTAACACAGAGGTAGGGGCGGAGGAGAGAAGTGGCATTAAATGATGAAAACCATTAAGGTTAAGGTCTGCATAAATGGGTTGTTTTACTTTAAATTTTAAAACACCTTCTTTTGTCTTTAATTAAAATTATTTTTAAGCAGCTCATAATAATTGTACATATCCAGGGGGTACAGTACGATAATTTGATACATGTATACAATGTATAATAATAAAATGAAGGATTTTTATCATTTAAAGGAAAACAAAACCCAGTTTGAAAAATGGTAAAAATGGAAAAATTGTTAACGGATCTGATACTACATGTATATTTTTCTTAGAAACTAGGATACTTCTGAATGTTATGCTACCTGAGTTCTGGATGAAATAGTTTTATGGCAGTTAATATCCATTAGCCTACAGTGAGGACAGTCCAGCCTGCATCCCCACCTCTGCTTTCTTGACAAATTTGTTGCTAATCAAAGTCCAAGCAGGTCAGTGTCTGCTGTGAGATGGAAAATTATTGAAGGCACTGTATATATGTTCTTTGCTTTAATAATGATGTTACAATACAATAAACCTTTCATAAATTGAAAATGTATCAAATATGCATAGCCTTTGAGTAGTTTCTTTCCCTTTCACTATATCTATTGTACCTTTTGGATCTTACTTACTCTTTCAATTTCTTACACTGAGGAGACAATATGATGCTTACACATGTGATTCTAATTTATTTCACTTATAAGTATGGTCTCTAGTTGTATCCATTTACCTATAAAAGCCTCAAGTT